CTAGCACGTTGCTCACGTGTGAAGAGTCATGTTTAACCGTGCAGCCCAGCTCCTGTGGCCCCTCCTGAGGAGTCTGCTGGAAGGCCCGAAACCTGCCTGTAGATTATGATTCCGAGTTTTTTCCTATTGGCTGAGGGGCAAAGGCATCTATTACCACCTATTAACTATCTTTGCCACATTCAAGCTCGGGATGACATGGTGGCATCATCCAATTCAGATAATGACCCTATTAAATATGGTGTATGGCTTTGGTACAAAATGCCGGCATAGCTGTTGTATTTTTTGATTTTATAGATGCCTTTAAGTGACTACGTATTTTACGGCACAAGTCATTTTTGAGTGGCAGTGCCCAGTGGCTAAGGAATAGAGTTTGCCCGGAGATCTCTCAGCCCCGTCAGACTCCTGGCGTTCCTCGAAGGTGTTTTATCATGTAGTAGTATCCAGCTCCAGGAAAGGCCCATTTCTGCTTTTAACTATGGAGAATTGGTCACAGGTAAATGAGGTGCATTCTGGAGGCATCACTGACTGTTTCCTTTGGTTGAAGACAGAAGGGTTTCCCTATATTTCACAGTGGTCATCACACTTAATCAGGATGCCTGCATAATGAGTTAGTAGCCTCACTGGGAAGACTTCTAGTGGTGGAGTTGAATAATTTAAGGCTCATTAGGGATGTTTATCAGGATACAGGAAGGGGTGCTCGTGAAAATCCCATTAAGTGTNACTTCTAGTGGTGGAGTTGAATAATTTAAGGCTCATTAGGGATGTTTATCGGGATCCAGGAAGGGGTGCTCGTGAAAATCCCATGAAGTGTTTTTGTTCTGATTTATTCCTAGAGAAACTCACCCTTGTTCTAAATCAGAAAGTCCCAAAGAATAGATTTTTATGCTCCTCATTGGAATCTTCTGACTAAGATTCTCTCCAGGTAGCTTCTTGTATAAGATTGATTTGACTTTCAGATCTGTTGCAGAATTTTTTTAGTTAAATCGGGCACTTAATATAGAGACTTGCTTCAAAGCCCTCCATTTGAGAATGCTTGTGACCATGACTTTCTTTTCTTTGTGTCATTATTAATAATTATCATTATTACTATTTTAATCTTGGGTTAGTGATGTGTGCCAGGCACCTGGCAAAGTACTTACAGTACAAACAAAACAAAAACGGTTATGGTTCCGAGTCTCACAAAACACCTGGAAAAGATACAGGTTCATTATACACCTAACAAACATGCATGTCTGTACTTTGTGTTAAAATCTGTTAAATAAAGATCCATATACACATACGGCATATTTTTCACCTATTTATGTGTGTGGAAGCTATTTACATCATATCATGTAGCTCTGGTTTACTTATAAGTCTGTGATGATTCTGCGTTTCTTCATGTACACAAGCACATATGTGTACTACCAAAGAGCCCCTGGTCAAATGAGTTGTCACTGCATCTGCTCATTAGCAGGCAGTAATCACAAAAGTTACAGAACATTTTGTGAATTACAGATCTCTTTCTACCGCTGTCATTTCACAACAAATTATGAAGGCAAATATTTAATTCAAGTTTTTCAGGGTAACCAAGTGTTGGAGAATCTAAGTCACTTGCCCCAGGTCACTCATCCGGTTCTATATGATCAAGATTCCAAATGGATTACCTTGGCTACATAGTTTCTGCTTTAAACCAGAAGGAGACACAAATGCCTCATAAGCATGGACTAGAAAACTTTTATATACTTTCTTAGCTTTATGAAGTATATTACCCCATTAAAAATATAAAACACTGGTGTAAATGAGTGGTGTTTATGTGAAAAAAAGCTTTCTTCTTCTTTATTTTTAAAACAAGAGTAGAAAGTCATTGCTTCTGCGGTATCACTAGTCAATTTATTTTTCTTTTTCATAGCACTAGCTCACAGATGTTAGTTGCCATGAATATGTATCAGCAGAAAGTGTGAACTGCAGCCTATAGTAACGATCACAAACTTCACTTCATTTACACAGTCGGGCGTCTGTTTATGGCTCCCTCCTTTTTTATTGGGTGTGTGCTCTTGTACCTTTTATGTCCTTTGTGATTATTCTATCAGATGAAGTTAATTTTCTCTAGTATCTTAAGACAGGGATTATTTCTGCTATTTTATGTAAATAGTATAGATGTTTAATATGCTTATAATGGACCTAATTTCATTTCCTTTGGAAATTTCTCTTCTGCATAATATAAGTTCCTATATGTTAGTTGCAATTCAGGCTGTATCCACATGTCAAAAAAAAAAAATCAGTGGACTAGTGAGAAACTCACCCAATACCACATAGCCCCCCAAATTATTTTTTTAACCCAGAGAAAGGATTGAAATGTGAATGGTAATTTTTACAGAATTTAAGAATTTGAAAAAACCCTTTGAAAGCTGAAACAAACAGATTGAAAATAAGATCAGCTCTGGTACTATATAGTGTTAATTAAATGGATTAAAATTTATGTACTATTAAAAATATTAAAAGAATCACTAAAACCTAAGACACACTATAATTTTAAGTTAAAAATTAGAGAAATAATGCAATAAAATAATCCTCCAAATAAAATGTTTATAATGATAAATGGTTCTTTAAAAAATAAGCCAGATAATTTCCGATTGTGATCATTGCTTGAAGGAAGAAGACAAGATGAAGCATTAGTTCTGCCAACCACTTTGGGTGTCCCTGGGGACGAGCCTCTCAGAGGAGGTGATTTTGGAGTGGAAGGATCACAGGGACACACATACTAAGCAGAAGGAACCAGTGCAAAGGCTAGAAGATAGTGAGTGAGGACTTGGTATGAGATAATATTGGGAAGGAAGGATCAGATTATTCAGGGCACTGTAGGCCACAGCCAAGACTTTGGATTTTATTGGAAGAGCCACTAAATTTTTTAAGCAGAGTGGTGATAAAATCTGATCCGTGTTTTAAAGCACTCTGACTATTGTGTGGACATGGAGAGTAGGGGGCAGATGGAGAGGCTGGGAGACCAGGCTGCTGTAGCTACTCGGAGGCAAGTGATAGGGCTCTAGACCCAGAGGGAGGCAGCGGAGGTGGAAAGGAGCTGGGCAGAGTAGCCAGCACGTCTCAAGGAAGGAAAGGAAGGGATGGAGGTTGAACGCCGGCCCTAGAAGGAAAAGAAACATTAACAGCACAGCGCCAGTGCAGCAGAAATCAAACTAAAGAAGCACGAACGACTTATATCAAGTTAATCACTCACAGTAGGTCCCCTTATCTGCAGGGATATGTTCCAAGACCCCCAGTGGGTGCCTGAAACCACACACAGTACCAAACCCTATAGATACTGTTTTTCCCTGTATGTATGCACCTGTTCACTTAAAAGAAGCATTTCACGGCTTCTCTGTGGCATACCTGATAGCCAGCATCATTCCTTTTGCACTTTGGGGCCAGTATGAAGTAAAATAAAAGCAACTTGAACACAAGAACTGTGATACCATGACAGGCCAGTCTGATAACCACGACAGTGATTGAGAGTAAGGGGCAGGGAGCGTCTGCACTGGGCAGATGCTGGACACGGGAGGATTCCCGTCCCCGGCAGGATGGGGGCGGCAGGGTGCGATTCATCCCGCTGAGAACATCACGCAATTTAAAACTTATGGATAGTCTATTTCTGAAATTTTCCATTTAATTTTTAGAGCATGGTTGAATGCAGGTAACTGAAACCACAGAAAGTGGAGCCATAGATAAGGGGACACTACTGTATTTTCATCCCATGACTGAGGAGTGGGACTCATGCACCTAAGTGAGGAATTCCATAGACTCAGTCCACCTGGTTTACTTGTCTCAGTTCTGTCCACGACCTTTTGATGAAAAAGGTCTAGCTATGGACTGTTTTTCCCTGCATCTTATTTCTCTGTTCCCAAAACACAGTAGAATGCCCCTCAGAGTAGAGTCAGCCAGAGTTGGTCAAATTCAACATCAGTTTCTACTCTCAGTTATCTTCAACAGATATATATTTTTAAAGGGCCTATTATGTGTCATCTACTCATTTATATTCTTTATGTAAATTATTATATCAATTCTTACAGAAACCCTGTTATGTAATTATTATTGTTGTTGTTCATAATATCCATCTTTTTACTGACAAAAAACTAAGGCAGGTTAGGGGCTACTAACCATCTTGATGTGGATCAGTCAGTGAGGTAGTTAGAATTCATACCTGTGTCTGCTGCGCTCTAAGACTTGTGTGTTTTTCATCACCTTATGCTCTGCCTCAGAAAACACATATTGATAAATCATTTAGGACTATATGTTTTTTGGCTCCTTTTGCAGAGAGATGATTGAAAAATGATGACAGAGAAATACAAAGACATTAAAGGGACATATTATTTTCTCTCTGATAAAATAATAGAAGAACCAACTGTTCTAAATAAATAGCTCTACCAGCCCAAAGGAGAAAGCTCTGTAACAGGTCATGAGAATATCAGATCGCTCAGGACGGAGCCATTCCGGTGACAGATGGAAGGCTGTGTGTTGTATTGAAGCACTTGCAAAGTACTGTACTATGCGTTGAAAGGCCAGAATGATGGCTCAGAGCCAAAACTGACTGCAGATTAGATTTTAGGGTCTTGAGAAAGGGAGGAGAAGACATGGGAATGGAAGAAGAATATATATGTTGATATTCTAACTCGCCTGTGATGCTCATGGAATAGGAGTCCTGGGACTGTCTCACCCCAACCCCATCACATCCTGGAGCATGGGAACCTCCTGTCTATCAAACACTCCAAGGTGATTTTGGTACAGGAAGGTCGTGGACCACACTTTGGGAAAATACTGATTTGGTCCAGTCTCTTTATTTTATAAATCAGCACAAGGCTCGTACGGGAAAGCGGTTACCCCAGTTCGCGGTACTCTGTTTCATTAGAGCTTTGGCTAAATCAGTCTCCTAGAGGCCCGGTTCTGTCTTCTTTGATTCTTGGACTTAATTTTTCCAACTCTAGCCCTGGACCAGCTGACAGCCTGTATCACTGTTATTTCTCTTCTAGAATCACAACCACAGCCGCCTGCATGATGGACCTGCGGCGGTACCCGCTGGACGAGCAGAACTGCACCTTGGAAATCGAAAGCTGTAAGTTGTTTTGCGAATCCGGCTGGACGGAGCCCCGCTTTAAGGTTCTCCAGACCACAGGTCCTGCCAAGGTTCTGCTAGCACACCCGGTCCCTTCCCTCCAGGGTGCTGCCATCCTCTCAGTCTTGTCCCGAAACCCTGGGAGAGATGTGAAAGGGAGAAGTAATCTAGCACTAAAAGGAAGATGCTAAGAGCCTGGAAGAAAACCAAGGGTTATTCTAGTCATTTAAAGTACAATATTGGTGCAAGCAGCTACACCAGGCTTGGGACACTAGGTGAAGGCGGCAGGGGGACACAAGGTATCTGAATTATTTCTGCCTCTCGTAAGCGTTACCACTTTTCGGTTGCAAAGTAAGTGTGGCCTCCTGGAATAGCCAGAACATTTGCAGGATGTGCATTGGTGGAGTGGTTGGTTGTTTTCCCCCAGGAACTATTTTCAGTGTCAAAATTTATTCTATATTCTTGCTGAAGGCCGTCTGGTGAGCAGGATGGGTGTATATGTGTGTCTGTTCTCTTTCCTGCGCTGACCTGTTTTGCAGTGTTGTTGCATTTCTAGGCCATAGTTTGTGTCCTTGGCGATTCAGTCACCTACTCTGTTGGGTACAACGTTGATTTCAAAACCCATCTCCGTTCCAGAGGTCATTCAGGGAGGTCCTTTGAAGTGGAATAGAATTTCGAATCTCTTTTCTCTGGCAGTGCTTTGTACAGTGTTCATACCTCATCCCACCAAACAGTTGTAAGCTGACAATTTTATATGGAGAATTCTAGGTAATGAGCAACTTCACTGCTGCGCGGACACTCTCAGCCTGTGTCAGGAGCTCTCGCTGTGACAGGCAGCGTGACTCTAAATCACCGCTCTGAGCAGAAATACAGCTTTCATGACACATCGTGGGTATTTTTGCCCAATTCAAAAAATAGCTTCCAGGGATAATTAAATTTACACACATTTTTTTGAAGAACCTGATTTCATACTCATATTTCCAAATCATTACTTTCACTCTAGATTTTTGCCATGCAGAACTACTTAATAAAATTGCTCTATGGGATTGTTATGATTATTTTTTATGTAAATATCTTTGGGATTAACTTTGCATTTTCATAACTAATAATACAGTTTAGAGTGCAGAATAATGCTCTTGAAAGTCTAAAATCTAGTTGTTTCAAATTGTTGATGTAAGGATATTTTGAAAAAAATATATGACTGAGTACCACTCATGAATTTTTACAGTAAGAGAATTTTTTGTGGTAGAATTTGACTGGAATTTTAATAATCGTTATTGCACATGGTTAAAACACTGGCACTGATGTCATATCACCCTCACCAGCATTTGTTACCTCCTGTCTTTTTTATGGTAGCCATTCCAACAGGTGTAAGGTGATATCTCATCATGGTTTTTATTTGAATTTCCCTAATGATTAGTGATGTTGAGCACCTTTTCATGTACCTGTTGGCCATTTGTATATCTCCTTTGGAAAAATGTCTGTTTGGTGCCTATTTATACATTGGGTTATTTGGTTTTTGCTATTGAGTTGTATGAGTTCATTATATATTTTGAATATTCACAACTTATCAGATATATGTTTTGCAAATATTTTTCTGCCATTCCCGGTGTTACATCCAAAACATAATTGCCAAGACCAATGTTGAGGAGCCCGTCCCCTATGTTTTCTTCTAGGAGTTTTATAGTTTCAGGTTTTGCATTGAAGTCTTTAATTCATTTCAAGTAAATTTTTGTGAGTGGTTTAAGATAGGCTTCTAATTTAATTCTTTTGCATGTGGATATTCAGTTTCCCTAACACCATTTACTGAAAAGACTATCTTTTCTCCATTAGGTATTCTTGGCTCCCTTTTCAAATATTATTTGACTATATATGTGAGGGTTTATTTCTGAGCTCTCAACTCTCTTTCATTGGTCTGTGTGTCTCAATTTTTGAGACTTCTTTTTGTGGCTTACCATGTGACTGGTTCTAGAAAATGTCCCATATGTGCTTAAGAAGAATGTTTATTCTGTTGCTGTTGGATAGACTGTTCTGCATGTGTCTGTTAGATCTATTTGGTCTACAGCAGCGATTTCCAACCAGTGTGCTGTGACTGGGCACTGACTAGTCAGGGGCACTGACTTCTTATTCCTTAGATTGTCAAAGAAAAATGGCAACCAATACAACAATAGTTGTCCAGTGTGAATGGATTAAAATTAGACCTTTTTTTGATCAGATGGGCAAAAAAATATGTTTTTTGGTGTGCCGCAGAATTTTAGTACTTAGTTTATGTGTTCCATGAGATGGAGAAGATTGAAAATCACTGGTCTATAGTGTTGTTCAAATCTGCTCTTTCCTATTGATTCTCTGTCTGGATGATTTATCCATTGTTGAGAGTGGGGTATTAAAGCTCCCAACTATTATTGTATTGCTGTTTATTTCTCCTTTTAGTTCTGTTATTATTTGCTTTATATATTTAGGTGCTCCAGTATGGGGGCATCAATATTTATGGTTGTTATATCTTCTTGATAAATTGACCCCTTTATTACTATATAATGACCTTCTTTGTCTCCTGTAAGCATTTATAGCTTAAAGTGTATAGGGTAGATGTTAATATTCCTGTTTTTACAACTAGGGAAACAGACTCAAAGAAAGAAAGCGACATCTTCAAGATCATGTGGTCACTGAGGGGCACAGTGGCTCTGAGCTGATGTGGGAACTGATAGTTGTAAAGCCACTGATTTTGGAGAGACCAGATTAACAGGAAGATCACTGTTCTAAAAATCACAAAAATAGCCTGTCCTCAAAAAAAATTTAGGCTTAATCATATTTCTTTAGACAGCAAATCATTGTTCTAGAAAATGAAACACCCGCTATCCAGGCCCAGTTATTACAAGCGTATTGAAATTTGGATCCCATCCTTTGAACAGCCAGCTCTGAAGTTGATCCTTGATGTTCTGCCGTGTTCATTTACTCCATCCTGTTAAGTAAACGATAGGCGCCCATTCCCCCTCCTTCCTTCTGCAGCCCCTCTCCTCTCCCTGCCTCTCCTCTCTTCTACTTAATTTTCTTCTTCCCTCTTTCCTTCCCTTTCTTGCTCCTCTCAAATGCACTCGACCCTAATAGTGGCACTGCTAAACCTTTGTCACCTCGTCTGCTTACAACAGTCAGTGTGCTGGTTTCCTTTTTAGGAAGGATAATATAACTTGCTTCAGGGCAGCTTGAAGTGGAGAAAGGTTGACCTGAGCTCATTGTTGGCTCATTCATGCATTGCTTTACTCAAGAGTCTACGCTCTCATTAAATATTTATTGATCACTGATTATTTACGAGGCATTGTAATAAGTTCTAAAGATAGAATGGTGAACCAAAGTAGACAATATCCCTGCCTTCCTTTATTATGCTGAGGGCGATAGGTTTCGTTTAAATAAATATATGTAAGAATGTAAAAATCCCATTGGTAAAAAGTGCTGTCAAGATGAAAATTTAGTTTAGTCAGATCTTAAACAAGAGTAAATCTTGAAATAAAGAGCTGATGGTTCTAGAAAGGCAGTGAACTGTGCATATGTCAAAACTTTCCTTGGGTTTAGAGGAGTGGAGTTTTATGGAATCAGTGGGATTTTCTGAACTACATGGGCCCTGATAACATGCAGGAAATAAAACTTATATACGATATCCAGGCATATATCTTGTCTATATCTTTCTCTGAATCTTTCAGTCAGATTGGAAAAGGGATACTGGGATACTCACCTATATTTCCAGGGAAATACCACCTTCAAAGTACCAATGACAACAAAGTTATGTGCCAGCCTCTATAAGGTTCATTTGAAGGTTCTTGCTATTTAGGAGTAAGATGAAGTCTTTTAAAGAAATAATGAATTGTCCCAGGTGTGCCTTTGTGTATACTAGTACTTAACAGTATTAAGAGGGTCCTAACACTTTTAGGGCAAGTCAAAGATTTATCTCTTTCTAAAAATACATAAAGTTCAAATCATGTCGAGGAAACAACATCCCATCGTATGGCAAGGCTGCTTAGTATATTCCATCCAGAAGTGAAAGGAGGGTACAGGGAGTGTCCCAGATCTTTGAAATGGGAATAGTTAGGGGGCTACTCTGTGATATTCTGAGCCAGATCAGCTGTCCAATATCAGTATCGGCTACTAATTATGCGGGACCCCTCTCCCCTCCTCGGAAGAGACGGGCTGGGCTGTCATACAGTCTTGAGCTCCTCTTGGGACAGGTGCACTGCTTGTCAAAAAGGGCATATGGAATTCTCACAACGAGACCCATTAACAGGCTGTTCCCGCTACAAACACCAAAGTTCCTTTTTTCTCATTGGTTTGTGTGCTTTTGTCACAGCCCATCTCTGGTGAGTCGGAGTGGAGAGCCTGGGTGTGTCAGAGAGTAAGATTAATGCTGTCACTCCCAGTGTCCTTGGTTTTCTCGGTCATTCCCAGCCTTGGTGCACTCTCTACATTGAATCAGAGGGCGTAGAACTTTCTCCACAGCTCTTTCATAGGCAGCTTCTCAGGGCTATGTCAAGTGTCACTGAGACAGCCCATCAGGCACCTCCTTTTAGGATTCCCCCCCCTGAAATCCTCCTAGGTCTTTCTAGATCCTTTAAGAAACATCCTACCACTGCCCTTTGTGGCTGCATCCGAAACCAGCTCTTGCTGGCCTCTCACAGTCTTGCTGGCCTGATTCCCTCCCGACACTGGGAAGGCCATCCTACTTAGCTGAGCCTCGGTGTCCTGACATGAGGATAATATTGTCCATCACGCAAAGTTATGAAGATTAAACGACCTAATATGGATTAAGAATCTAGCACTTTGCTTGTAACATGGCAGACATCTAATAAATAGCAACTTTAGTAATTAGTAGTTATTACTCTAACACTAATTTTGATTATTATATTTAAAAGTCCCATAGTGCCAGGATTGGCTCTAATTATGAGATCTAGTATTTCCAGCCAAGAAGAGGCCCGAAGCACTGCGCTGCCCTTCTCAACCTTTGTAGGTCTCCT